AATGCATCACAGCTTTTAAATTGTACTAGAGTACAGAGCAGATCCTAAGCACATTGTTTTGAGTCCTTTTTTTTTTTTTTCTCCGGAAAAACTGCTTGATTACTGTAAGACTTTTTCTCTATTATTTTTTTTTATCTTTTCAGCTCCTTAGTGACATTATAAATTGATCAAGCTTACTGTTTTACATTTTCACCTTGGAAAAAAAATTTTCTTTTGTTTGCAGGCAGAGCAGCCTACATTATCTGATGTCAATTTGGATATACTAGTTGGCAGCCTCGTTGCTGTAGTTGGTAGTACAGGAGAAGGAAAGACATCGCTTATCTCAGCAATGCTTGGGGAACTTCCCTCTATATCTAATGCAAGTGTTATTATTAGAGGAACTGTTGCTTATGTTCCACAAGTTTCATGGATTTTCAATGCAACTGTAAGTTTTAGCTTGCTTGTATATTGTATTTATTTGTGGTCCTTCATGCTTTTGCATGTTCTGCCATGTTACCTTAGTTGGTGAGAAGCAACTAAAATGTGGCAAATAAATCGTAATGATTCTGAGGCATTTTTTTTACTAAGAAGCAATTGAAGGATATAGCATTTCCATAGTCATCTATGTTCAGTTTTGTACTGATGACATCCTATTTTTTGGAAGTTTGGTGGCTATTACATGAGTTAGTGACCTTCAGAATCTATTCTTACAGGTACGTGACAACATTTTATTTGGATCTTCCTTTGATTTGGGAAGGTATGAGAAGGCAATAGATGTGACTGCACTGCAACATGATCTTGACTTATTGCCTGTAAGTACTTTGCCATGTTATCATGTGATGTGATGGCAGATGTCCCAAATGATTTAAAATTTCTGCTAAGTACTTATACCATTTTACATGCTTTCTTGATAGGGTGGTGATCTAACAGAGATTGGTGAACGGGGAGTGAATATTAGTGGTGGGCAGAAACAAAGGGTTTCCATGGCTAGGGCTGTTTATTCCAATTCAGATGTATACATTTTTGACGACCCCTTGAGTGCCCTGGATGCACATGTGGGGAGACTGGTAATTAGTTAACAATTCAAAATAACTTGTTGCCGTCACTTTGCTATTTGCTATTGACATCCATCTGCCTAAATAATGATTACAAAATCAAGCATATTTAGAATACCAAGGTCTTGTTTCAAAAACAAAAGGAGTATTTTTTAACAAATGTTAATAAAATTATTGACTCACCTCCATCTCTGCTTGTCTATTTAGAACTTCCTTTTTGATATTTTACTGCTCTCTTTTTCTTTTTCTTTTTGTTCTTTTCTGATGTTTCCCATTTCATGAATGTTATCATCAATGTGAAAGTTGATTATGTTATATGCTCCTTATTTTCACTTAGCCTTGATCTGATGTGTACTATATAATCATGTTCAGGTTTTTGATAAATGCATCAAGGGAGAACTGAGAGGGAAAACGAGAGTTCTTGTCACTAACCAGCTGCACTTCCTTTCACAAGTCAATAGGATTTTACTGGTTCATGAGGGAACGGTCAAAGAGGAGGGAACTTTTGAGGAACTTTCTAAAAATGGCAAACTGTTCCAAAAGCTCCTGGAAAATGCTGGGAAAATGGAAGAGTACAAGGAAGAAAAGGAAGAAGGTGATGCAGCTGATAATAAAGCCTCTAAACCACTTGCTAATGGGGTAGGGAATGATTTTCCAAAAGATGCACACAGTGGCAATAAAAGTGAGGAAGGCAAATCTGTTCTCATTAAGCAAGAGGAAAGAGAGAAAGGAGTTGTCAGTTGGAAAGTTCTAATGAGGTAAAGAATTCAAAATTTTATTCATGTTCTTCAAATTGCATTCAGACACACTCAAAAATATTTTTATATTGAATGTCCTGATGTCCTTCATTCCCAATATTTCATCATAATTGCTCCTGCTCTATCATTGAAACACCTGCATGTTATAACTAACATGAATTATCCCATGAGCCAGATCAGATTCTCCTATTACCTATGGAAAATTGGATTGATCTTCTCATTATATGATGGCTGTTATTTGAACAGGTCTGATGTTGAAATAAAAAAGAAGACCTTTATTTTTCCTTAATCAATTTGCATTGACCTTTAAGCAATTGTTAAGAAACAAAATATGCTGTTATTTTGGAGTTATAGTTCCTTTCAAGTAACTATTTATTTTATTTTCCCTTCAGCCAGTCTATCTTGCCAAGAAATGACAGAAAATTGTTTTGGATACCTCTCAGTACTAAGTATTAGCTAAGCATTTTCTACTATTAGTTATTACTTCATCTGGACATATGTTTGTCCTGATGTGAGCATGAGAAGCAGTATTGAAGATTCTTTACTTGTTATATTCTAAAGTTATTGTCTAATGGATGTAGTACTGCTCTCTTTCCAGGTATAAAAATGCACTTGGTGGTTTTTGGGTGGTGATGGTACTTTTTGCGTGCTATGTCTCAACTGAAGTTTTACGAGTTTCAAGTAGCACATGGTTGAGTACCTGGACAGATCAAAGCTCTCCAAAGACACATGGGCCTGGTTACTACAACTTGATCTATTCGCTTTTGTCATTTGGTCGGGTATGAGTTTGTTAAATAGATATATACCAGTTTTCATATCCATTGTTTCCTTTTTTAGATAGATAGGGTGCCTATCTTTCCTAATGTTCCCAGAGGCCAGAAATTATATCATCTATTTATGCCAAATGCCTAATCCCACCCCAAAATTTTTATTTGATATGCATGTGATCTTCCAACTTTTATCATGTGTAATGTAGGCCACAACTCTTAGAACTGATTCATTGTAGCCCAAATTCTAATCGTGCACTACAACTGTAAAACCCGTTGGCATGACATTTACCTTGGGGCAGAAATACCTATGTGTTTGCTTGAAAACCAAATGATTTTCCTGTCTTCACCCAATCTTCCATTTCTTTTTTTTCCTCCCTCACCCATAAATCCACACCCAAGTGTCGCAACTACCTCCGCAAATCAATTGGGTAATTTCTCAACCAACAAACTGAAATAAAATGGACAAATCTACCTTACCCAAATGCAAACTAACGTGATACAAGTCCTACCAAAACAAACAATTGTTTCTATCTGATTTTAATTAGAAGTATTGATGGTTTAAATTTGTAGCTTAGGATGCATGCATGTATGAATTTATTATTTAATTTAATTTTATTTGTCATCCTCTCCTGTAATTTCAGGTTATAGTGACATTAGTAAATTCATATTGGTTGATCATATCAAGTCTCTATGCTGCGAGAGGGTTGCATGATGCCATGCTTACTTCCATACTTAGAGCTCCAATGGTCTTTTTCCACACCAACCCACTTGGACGTATTATTAATAGGTTTGCAAAGGATCTAGGTGACATTGATCGGAATGTTGCTACTTTTGTCAATATGTTTCTTGGACAAGTGTCGCAGCTTATTTCTACTTTCATCTTGATAGGAATTGTGAGCACTATGTCCTTGTGGGCCATAATGCCACTTTTGGTGCTGTTTTATGCAGCCTATTTATATTTTCAGGTACATACTTCTTATAGAATTGCTCTTAAGATGCTTTTTAATTACCTTGGTTATTGGTTTTGTCATTATTATTATAATCTTTAACTAGATATTGCAAGGTGTAATATTTTCTAAATGTACAGTGAAATCTTGCTTAAATTGGTATAATTTTCTTTCTATAGAACACAGGCCGTGAAGTAAAGCGCTTAGATTCCATAACGAGATCACCTGTATATGCACAATTTGGAGAGGCACTGAATGGCTTGTCAACTATCCGTGCATATAAAGCTTATGATCGCATGGCCGACATTAATGGGAAATCCATGGACAACAATATCAGGTTCACCCTAGTGAACATGAGTGCAAACCGCTGGCTTGCAATCCGCTTGGAAACACTGGGAGGACTCATGATTTGGTTTACTGCAACTTTTGCTGTCATGCAGACGGGAAGGCCTGAGAACCAGCAGGCTTTTGCATCTACCATGGGTCTGCTTCTCAGTTATGCTTTAAATATTACAAGTTTATTAACAGGTGTACTCAGGCTTGCTAGCATGGCAGAGAATAGTCTTAATTCTGTTGAGCGTGTTGGCACATATATAGAGTTGCCTTCTGAAGCTCCTCTAATTATTGAGAACAATCGCCCACCCCCTGGATGGCCTTCATCAGGATCAATCAGGTTTGAAGATGTTGTCCTGCGGTACAGACCCGAACTTCCTCCAGTCCTGCATGGAATATCTTTTACAATCTCTCCAAGTGACAAGGTAGGTATAGTTGGAAGGACAGGAGCTGGAAAGTCAAGCATGCTCAATGCCTTGTTCCGAATTGTAGAGCTGGAAAGAGGGAGGATCTTAATTGATGGTTGTGATGTTGCAAAGTTTGGACTAATGGACCTCCGGAAAGACCTTGGCATTATACCCCAGTCACCAGTTCTTTTCTCAGGTATGCTTCAACCACAATCTTGGTCGTAATTCAAGAAGATAGCTTTGGGTAATAATCTGATGATTTGGTGTTTTGACCTATAACAATTTCTGCCTTTCCCAGGATTATATATATTCTTATTTTTATATTATCAACCCTAATTGGAGTTCTTTTTTCTTTTTTTTTTTTGTTGGCTAGGAAATGTGAGATTTAATCTTGATCCTTTCAATGAACACAATGATGCTGATCTTTGGGAGGCCTTGGAGAGGGCACATTTGAAGGATGCCATCTGTAGAAATTCTCTTGGTCTCGATGCTGAGGTACTTTTTTGAAATTTCTACTTGAAACTTTGTTTCTTAAACACATTTTGTATGATTATCTTGATTTTATGTTCTGAATTGAGATACATTGTCAGTGCTTATGAATTTGACTTCATTAAGGGCTTTTAACTGTGATCTTGGTGTTTTGGAAAGGTTTCAGAGGCAGGGGAGAATTTTAGTGTTGGACAAAGACAACTTTTAAGTCTTGCTCGTGCATTGTTGCGGGGATCAAAGATCCTTGTTCTTGATGAAGCAACTGCAGCCGTTGATGTCAGAACCGATGCTCTTATTCAGAAAACCATTCGGGAAGAGTTCAAATCATGTACCATGCTAATCATTGCTCACCGTCTCAATACCATTATTGACTGTGATCATATACTGCTGCTTGATTCTGGCTTGGTATACATTCCATTTAAGTCTGCCCTAGTTCACTCTTCATGTTTGTTATATTTTTCATGCTACCATTTCTAACCAGCATTCAGCATGTTTGAAGTTCACCAAGCATGGACATGCCACAGCAGATATTTTGGATTATTTACACCTTTTTTTTCCTGTTTATTCTATTGCCGTAGTTCAGTTTTTTGATGTGTCTATACTACCTTCACACAGGTTCTGGAATATGATACTCCAGAGGCATTGCTGTCCAAAGAAGGAAGTGCTTTCTCCAAGATGGTGCAGAGCACTGGAGCTGCCAATGCTCAGTACTTACGTAGTTTAGTACTTGGTGGTGAGGGAGAGAACAAGTTGAGCAGAGAGGAGAATAACCAGTTGGAGGGACAAAGAAGATGGCTTGCTTCTTCTCGCTAGGCAGCCGCTGCCCAGTTTGCAATTGCTGTCAGCCTCACTTCTTCACACAGTGACCTGACAAGGTTAGAAATTGAAGATGAGGACAGCATCTGTTGTTCCTCAACACTCCCCTCCATCTCCGCATCATGTTATTATTATGTTTTGGTCATAAGATCAAATAAAATAATAATTAGTGAACTTATCAAGAAATATTGATAAGAAAATATCATTAAAATAAGTATGAAAAACTTACTTATTTTAAAACGATTCACACCTCTGCAGAGATATATATATAACATGTTGGTTTTAAGATGCTACAGCTTTATAATTACATTCTATGAATCAGCATTATTCATAGAGTCGCCTAATGCGAAACACCCTTCTTTACTTAAAAATATTTAGAAGATAAAATGAGGTTAGAAAGAAAGAAGAATGTGGAGGAATACACTATTTTTGAGTAAAAAGACATGTCCTATTTATAAGTCTTAGGGTCTTGTAACTCCCATTTATAAATTAATGATAAGAATAAATGGGGCAATTATTACGAAATAATGTGCCTTAAATAAGGTAATTAAATTATAACAGTTTGTTTGACCAAGTCTTTAATGAGACAATAAATTTAATTTATAAAATATATTATTTTATTTTAAAAAAAAATTTAACTTTTAACAATTCCTCCACTATTTTAATAAAAAATAAGCATTCTCTTTGGGTAAAGATGGATTATTATGCATAATAAAGGTAATTAAACTTTGAACCTTTACTTAGTGAGTCAACAATTCTTAATCCAAAATCAATAGTGAACTAAGTTTTGAACTATGACCCCATTGGAAAATATAAGAATCGTATTATACACATAATGACCCGAATGTTGCGTTTTTCACACAATTGACGCATTATGGTCTTACGCATGATCCTAGTTTTCATGGGTGATCTAGAAAATTGTCCATCCAATTTTCATAGAAACAGCCTCACTTTGACACTCACATAAGTGATATTTGTCAAGGGTGCACCCATAATTAAAACACCCCACTCATTGAGTTACAAATTTCATTAAGAGTATAAAACTTAACCTTCAATTCGTTATAGAATAAATGCATCCTCACCTTAGGAATGAAATCGAAAATTTTTTCGTTAAATATTTATGCATCTTTTAACAACAACTTTTCTATAATTCGTTTTTCCTATTTAAAACCCAATTCTTAGAGTTCGAGTTGGATATCCTCATAGGAAATTGTACATTATTGAGCTTGATTCTTATTCCCCTCGATGAGTACTAGACCTTGAATTATGATCATAATTTTTTCTCCAACTTTTGTTTTTGCCAAAGGTCTAGTTGATGGTATAGTGAGCAACAAAGAGATTTAACTCATTCTTTTTTTCATTTTTTCACATCAACCCATATGTCTACTTGCTCATAAAATTCACATTCATATTTCTCAAATTCTCAATTCATGATACCACAATTTTGATATCAAATCAAGTTAGTGAATCACCTTTTTCTTTCCACATATGTAGAGACATGTATTTAAGAATTTTCTTTTAACTTAAATGCCATTGTACCTTGTTGTATAATAGGAATATTCATCACATACCCTTTTTCTTGAATGCCTTATTATTATTTTTTTCATCATACACCATTATACCATAACTATATAATAAGAATGCATATCACATTTACTTTGTTAAGAACCATTATACCTTATTGTATAATAGGAGTGTATATCATATTTATTTTGTTAAGCACCATTATACCTTATTGTATAATAGGAATACTATACAAAATCTCAATTAGGCATCATTGGTCTTATCACCAATAATAATTCATAGGGATATCATAATTCCCCACATTGGGAGCATATCAAATATGTGATTATCACATTTATCAAATAATTGAGTTTATAGATAACTCATTTTCTCACAAGTTTTCATAAAAGTATATTATCTCATCTCACATTTTATCGCCACAAGTGACTCCTCGGTCATGTAAACTTAAAAAATTTAACTTATGTTTTCAGAGTATATCAACTCAAATTTCATGTCCATTTTTTCAAAATTATCACATGGACCAAATTGGTTAGCTCTTTCCTCTAGCCCTTTCCAATTTTCAATTTGATTCTCAAAGTTTTCACCCGTTTCATAAAAAAACTCAATAATATGGTCAATTAAATTCATAAATTTCTCCTTCATAGCTAATGGAAATGAACCAAATATTTACCATATGCATTAAGGGAAAATGACTAGCTTATTATTCTTATAAATATAGCCATTATAGCACTAGTAACGGCAAAATGCACAATTAATCTATTAATTAAGTAACACAAATGTAATATGTATTTAATACCAACCGCTAATAACATTAAGCTATCAAATTATTACACATATATTTGCTCAAGAAACCTACATTCATTGTTACTATCAACGGCTAGCAATTGTAAACTGCCTAATTATACATATCGATACCAAAGACCATAAGCATGCAATAACCAATTAAATACAGATGAAACAAAGTTTACATAGTTTACATATTACAGCCGTTAGAAATTTTAATGGATCATTAAGATCCAATATCTGACGATGACGATGACGATGACGATGACGACGACGACAATAATAATAATAATATATTCATTTGCAAAAGCAACCGCATGATGGTGATAGGGTATGCACTGATTTTTTTTTTTTAGTTTTAGCTTTACATGCCATTAAAATAAATAGCCTACCATTCAAGCACGTGCTAGTAATTGTATTAGGATCTAAGAACTCATACTTGTTTGAGGAATTGAAAACAAATAATTTATATTTTGCTTACAAGGGTCGGCATAAGTTTCAATTTTGTTTTGCATATTTAATCGCCTTAAAATTGTTGTTTCGCAAACACTCTCCTCCATCTCCACATCATGTCATTGTTGTGTCTTGGTCGCAAGATTAAATAAAATAATAATTAGTGAGCTTATCAAAAAATATCGATAAGATAATATTACCAAAATAAGCGTGAAAAGCTTACTTACTTTAAGGTAGAAATATATATAATATATTGCTCTCAGGATACTACAGTTTTATAATTACACTTTATGAATCTACACTATTCATAGAGTCACCTAACTCAAAGCATCTTTTTTTACCCAAGAATATTTAGAAAATAAAATGAGGTAAAAAAGAAGAATGTGGAGGAATACACTATTTTTGAGCAAAAAGACATGTCCTATTTATAGGATTTAGAGTCTTGTAACTCCCATTTATAGGTTAATAATAAAAATAAATTGGGCAATTATTATGAAATAATGTACTCTTAAGCAAGGTAATTAACCTATAATGGTTAGTGTGAACAATAAATACTTGGGAATTCCCATAGGGGGGTGCAGTAGGAAGCTTTCCTTTTGGAAACCTTTGGTGGATATCTTCAAAAAAATGCTATCTACATGGAAGGATGTATTTATCGCTCGGAGGACGAATTACTCTCATGAACTCAGTGCTGTCCAACCTTCCTGTGTTCTGGATGTCAGTATACTTGATCCCAAAAGGTACGCTCCTCTTACTTGATAAAATCCGTAGAAGATTTTTATGGGGTGGGACTGAAGAGGGTAAGAGAGTAAATTGGGTCAAGTGGGGTCGGGTGTGCAAGGATAAGGAGAGAGGAGGCTTGGGTGTCAAGGATTTGAGGAAGTTTAATATGGCTTTGTTGGGTAAGTGGTGGGGAAGACTGGTGTCGGAGGATAGTGGGTTATGGAAAAAAAATCATTTATGAGAAATATGGGAGGGATGGGGATCCAAGCTACAATTGGCTGAGGGAGAATACGGGTCTAGGCTCTCGATGGTGGAGGGATTTAGGTAGAGTGAATGTTATAGCAGAAGAGAATAGGAGATGGTTGGAGGACGGGCTAAAGCTAAAGGTAGGAGAAGGAATAGAGGTAAGTTTCTGGTGGGACAGTTGGTGTGGCAAGGGAAGTCTTGCTA